GAAATGGGAAAGGGATGATCACAGAAAAAAAGAAAGAGCAAGGAAGATTTGCATGAACTGCTGCAGAGTGAAGTGAGCAGAACCAGGAGAAGGGTTTAGACCATGAAAATAATACGGTTATAAAGACAGCTTTGAAACACAGAGGACTTCTTCTGAAGCGGTGTCTGACCGTGCTCCTGGAGGCCCAGCAAGAATGAGGCTGCCCCACCCCGCCCTGAGGGGGTGTGGCCCCAAGGGCAGAAGGACACACATTGTTGGATGCAGCCAATGTGCCAGTTTATTTTGCAAATTTGGCACAAGTGTTTGGCTTTTCTTTCCTTTCATTTTTCCTAATAAGGAGGAGGAAGAACAAATAAATGCTTGTTCACTGAAAAAACAATTTTTTTTTTTAGGCAATTGGGGTTAAGTATGAAAAAACAATTTAAAAAAATCATTTCCGAGGCCTTTGTGTTCCTTCCTTTCTCCCAGCTCTACTCTGGGCTCGGCAGGGCAGTTTGTGTGCGGTAGGACTTCGATCCGGCCGCAGGTCCCTGGGGCTAGAGGCTGGAAAGAAGGAAGGAAGAAATAGATAAGAGCAGGCTTTCTCTTCCACACCCCCTGGGACCTGGCACCATCACCTGACAAAGTCACCAGGGGTGCCTGGGAGGTAGGCCTCAAAGCCCAGAGCAGGGAGACTTGGCCTGTCTCTGTTTCTCCATAATCAACTGCATCTGATAGCGCCTCGCCTCATTCCCTACCCCCTTGGGCTCAGAAAATCACTTGTGGTTCCTCTGACCACAGGACAGAGGGTGTCTGTAAGTCACCTAAGCACCACTGGAGAGGGTGGGCCACCCACCTAGGGAGGCCTGTGCCCATTCCTCTGCCCCTTTGCTCGGGTCCCGTTGAGAGTGTTTGTGGTCCCCACTTGGCCTCTTCTGTAAAGCACATGTTCGCACTGCGGGGTGGGGGTGGGGGGGTCATGCAAAGAGGGCTCATGAGTTCTACCATCGTGGCCTGGGGGACCTTGAGCGGCCCTTCCAATTCCCTGGGCCTCCTTTGCCAGCTGCGCAGGACAAGATGACCCTGCACTCCCTTGCCCTTCTGGAGCGGGGATTTCATTGTTCTAGAAACCTCTTTATCCTCTTAGCAAGGTGGGCTTGTGGGCATGTCCACAAGCTGTAGAGAGAAGCAAGATCCAGGGGCGTGGTGACAGCGGCACCCTGGCTGCTCCTGGCACAAGGCGCTCGTCTCCTGACTCAGGCATCTTCCCCAACTGCCTCCAGGTCTAGAATTCTCTTTACTTCTACCTCCTGGCTTCCCAGGCCTTCCATCCCAGCAGAAGCCCGCCCTCTACAAGGAGCCTTTCCAGATGCCCTCTGCCAGGGCTCCCCTCTGTTAATTATCCCCAGTTTGTCATGTCATGGCTTGGTTGTACATCCCCGTCACTCAATAGACTGTGAGCTCCCTAAAAGTGGGCACTGACTTTGTGTCCCCGGGCTTGGCACAGTGCCTGGCACATAGTAGGGGACCCCAGACCACTTTGTAGAACAAGCAGATTCTTGTACGATTGAAATGGCCGGTCTCCTCCAACTCTGAACTTCCACGATTCCATGGTTCTGTGATAAGCCCCTCTCTATACTTCACATTCCAGCTAAATGGGACTGCTCTTCATTTCCAGTTATCAGTTCATCTCCTACCTCCAAGCCTTTGCTCATGCTGGGTCCCATTCCAGGAATGACACCCTACCACAAATACATATGCCTCACTGAAATCTCTCCCTTCGTTCAGGGCCCAGCTCAGGGCTTAACCCAGCTATAAAATGTCCCCTTTACTCCACTTTTACAAGTGAAAATTATCTCTCCTTTCTTGAATCTCTCAGAGGACTTTGCCCAAAGGTCTCCTTTGTATCATTCTTGAGTCTTTCTCAACACTGGACTATAAACAATTTGAGAGCAGAGTCTGTGGGCTCATGTCAGTCTGACATAATGGACTTGGAGTCAGAAAGACTTGGGCACAAATCCAGCCTCAAATACTTCCTGGCAGTGTGATCCTGAGCAAGTCATTTCACCTCTGTCTGCCTCAGTTTCCTCATCTATAAAATGAGGATTGTAATAGCACCTGCCCCCCAGGATTATTGTGAGATACTGTGTAGAAGGCATTGTGTGAGCCTTCATACACTATAGAAATGGCTGCTGTCTACAGCCTTGCACACAATAGGTGTTTAATTAAGGTCTTGTTGAATTGAAGCAGACTTATTTATCTGAGAATGATACCCCAGCTCTAATTCCACAGAAAACTGAGCAGACAGACATGGGTGTTGATGCAAGAGAAATTCCTATCAGACATCAGAAGGAGCCCATGAGTTCCCTCTGTATGCCAGTGTGCAGAGGGAGAGCCAGAGGTCTCTGTGCCTGAGGAACATGATGTTACAGCTAACAGCGGCAGATCACTTGAAAGCCGTTTGCCCAGGGCTTTATGCATGTTATTTCATCTGCACCTAGACAGCTTTGTGAGGTAGATGCTTTCATTATCCGTTTTACAGAGGAAGAAACTGATGCTCGAAAAAGTAGAATGACTTGACCAGGATCACACAGGTAAATGTCTGAAGTGGGATTTGAATCCAGGCTTTTCTGCTATAGTACCAACATTCTATTTACTACTTCACACTGTCTATTAAAAGCAACCCTTTTCCTCAGATAATTTTACTTAGACCTGTGCTCCAGTAGGTGCTGGAACAGGGGGTCTCTTAAACGTCCTTGGGTTGGGGTCAGGGGATGGCCTCCAAGCAGCCTTTCCTTAGGGGCCTGGAGCTCCTTCCAAGGTGTTTAGAGTATCCCAATGCGATAGAATGGTATGGCAGGTTCCTCCCCTATGCAGAGTTCTGTCCTAAGCTCTGGGCGTACAGACGCCCCAGGGAGACAGCCCCAGATCTTCTGGAGCTCATACTTTAATTAGGGGAGGTAACATAGGTAGGAAGGAGGATTCACCTTCACGGCCAATGGAAAGGCCCAGAGGTCCTGAGGGTCCCGAGGTCACAGAGGCAGGGCAGACGGTAGGGCATCATGTCCCTTGGGAAGCAGTGTTTGGGATATGGTACTTGACCAATGGCTGTTGGGAAGTGAGACCGAGGGCTGGTGTGGAGAGGGGCTCTGGGTGCTCTCCAGCAGAAGTGGGTGGGGGGGACTGAGCAAGCAGCCAGGCTCTGGCGTCAATGAGCTGTGGCCCAAACGTCCCCAAAGGCCGAGGCCATCTCTCTATGATTCCTTGGTTTTTTTTCAGACACCCAGACCATCCATCCTCTCCCATTCCCTCTTAAACTCCATTATCCAACATCTGAACTCTTATCCATTTAATTAGGTTTCTTCCTTGTAAGAAGACTGAATTCTCCTTGTGAAAAACCCTCAGCTAACTAAGAACAAGGCCATCAAAACTCATTAAAAAGTCATCCATTTTTCCCAAAGACTTGCTGAGGAGCAAGGAGAAAATGAGAAGACAAGGCGGGTGCTAAATCCCTGATTTCCATTGAATGAAAATATCGTCTTTACATGATCCGTCTCATCAAATATCGTCTCTTGTTTCTTCCGGATAGGCGAAGGCTCTCAGATCTCTGCGGGGTGGAGGAAGGCCTGAGGACTCCCCCAGGTACCTGGTCACAGAAAGAACCCAATTTCAAGGGGTCAGGGCAGGTATGACAGAGAGAGGGGCAGTCGGGGGTCCTCCCCGCCCTCAGCCCATGGCCAAGCCTCTGTGAGTTATGCACCAAGTGTATTGTAAACCTATGAGTGCTTGAGAAATATCAGCTGCCATTGCAGATGACTGAGCATGCGCGGGGGCAGGCAGAAGTATATTTTGACAGTGGAGTTAGTGGGTGGGGTCACAGGGCACACAACAAAGGGGGAATCCCAGGAAGGAAGAGCCTAGGCACAGGGGCTGTGGGAAAGGGGGAAGGAGCGAAAGGGAATGTCACCCGCAGACCGTCCTTCCTTCCCTTTTGCCCAAGTTTTCTGCTCCTCTCCCTCACCCCAAGTAAAGGAAAGAAATGCTTTGCACATAGCAGACCTTTGACGAATGCTTTTGAATAGTATCTAAGACCTGGGTTCAAATCCTGGCTGTGGAAGCTTGGACAAGCCACTGCCTTCTCTGGCCTTCAGTTTACTCATTTGTAAAATAAAAGGTTGGCTTGGGTGGTTGCCCTGAATCTGTGATTCTGTGGCTTGAATCGAAGAGAGCCCCAGAGAAACTGGGTGGGAGTGAGGGGCAGGTGAGGAGAGCATTTGACTGGAGAAGAGGAGCCTTACCCCGGCTTCACCCCCAGGAGATGGAGATATTGCCATCCCGTGTCCTCCCGTCATGCCAGGCCAAAGCACAGACCCCAGGATCATGGGATCCCAGATGATGAGTAGACAGGAGCATGGAAGGAGGAGGAGGAGGTGGCAAGGTAGCACGGTGGAAAGAGTCCAGGCATTGAGTGAGAGGATCCAAGTTCAAATCTCGCCTCTAAGGCTTACCAGCTCTAACTGAGGGCAAGTCACCTCTGAGAGAGCTGGACGAGCTAGTCCCCAAGGTCTCCTCCAGCTCTGGCCCTGTGCTCCTTTAATCCTTCCATGAGCCTCAGTTTCTCCTCTGTGAAATTGGGGGTTGGACCATGTCATCTCTCAGGTGCTGGGGTCAAGGTTCATCTCACTGGTGCCCAGGTAACCCAAGAATGCCTGCGTGGGAGTGAAGTCTCTGGGTCTGGGGGTTCTCAGTGTGGTTGGCCTGCCTTCAGGTGGAAAGACCAGGTGGTACAGTGGGTAGAGCTCTGGCCTTGGCACTAAAGGACTTTATCCATGTCCAGGTTCTGCTCTTTCCTGCCTGTGAGAACCCTGGAAAGTTACTGAACCTCTCTGTGCTTCAGTCTCCTTATCTGGAAAACGAGGAGGATGGACTGGATGAACTCTGAGGGGCCTTACAGCTCTGGGTCTGTGACCCCATAAAGTCTGAGGTCCACAAGGAGCTCCATCAGAGATGAACTTTCGGATATGTTCGAAAGGAGCCTGTTCCCAGACCAAGCCTGGCTGCCTGTGTACAGAGCGGCTGACACTGGGTCTACTCCAGCCCGTGTGAGAGCTCTGCCGATGGCAGCATCCCGCTACTGGCTGCCCCCCAGCTCCCACTGACCCTGCCGGCCGTCCTGTGGCCCTGCCAACCTCGGCCTCCAGCCAGAGCTGAGCACCTCTCTCTGTGTCTCTCTCCATCTCTGTGTCTCTCTGTGTCTCTGCTCTCTGTGTCTCTCTGCCTGCCTGCCTGCCTGCCTGCCTGTCAGTCTGTCTGTCTGTCTGTCTGTCTGTCTGTCTCTCTCTCTCTCTCTCTCTGTTTCTTTTTCTGTCTCTCTGTTTCTCTGGGTGTGTGTGTATGTATCTCTCTCTCTCTGTCTGTGTGTGTCTCTGTCTCTCTCTGTATCTCACTCCTGTTTCCTATTTCTAGAAAGAAGCCTGCTCAGAGCTGATGAGTTCTACTGCATATAGAACCAACTGTCGTGACTTGGAGGGTGACAGGATGTTCAGATCTAATCTTCAGAGGAGGAAATCATCAGCTCTCTGAGCTCAGCTCTTTTTTTAAGGCACACACACACACACACACACACACACACACACACACACACACACACACGCACGCACACTGTTGGGAGACCAGGGCAAGATTGGAGAGCTGGATGAGAAAAGAGGAACACTGAGCTGAGTTTCCCAGCAAGCCACGAACTCAGTGGTTCTGTCTCCTCCGATCCTTTCTCCCCACCGTGCCTTCCCTGGGCCACAGGACATTGGCTGGGCTTCCTTCTTCCTTGATCAAAACGAAAGGGCTTGAGAAATCTGGGTCTGCACATGTTGGCCGGCTGGCTCCCCTGCAGAAAAGACCGGCTTCGTTAGGGCCCTACGTAGACACGCTCACAGAGGAGGCTGTTGGGGGGACGGGAACCTCCCGGATCGCTGGCTGTAAATCTGAAAGCCAGACAAGGATCCCCAAAGAGGAAGCTGAGGCTGAGCCGCTCATTGAGAGGCCGCTTGGGGGGGGAGCAGGAACACTCTGACGTGACTTGTTTTGCAAGACAGGAAAAGGAGGGTGCATAGTGTGATCCCCCTGAACTCTTCCGAAAAGCCCTGGAGTTTCTGGTCACAGGCTCAGAAAGAATTCCAGCAGCTGCTTTCCAGGCCTCTGTCCTCAGTGGCTTTTGGACTCTGACCAGCCTGACCGGCAGGCCCCCATCTCTGCCAGCCTCGGGCCCGAAGTCCAGGGAGGCTTCACCGTCCCCCAAAGGCCAGGAAGCAAGGTGCTGGTTTGAGAGTGGCCTGTCTTATCCCCAGGGAGAAAGTGGGTCTGCCCTGTGTCATCCCTTCCCCTTGAAACTTGATGGCATTGTGTGCATGTATGTATGTGTGTATGTATGTGTGTATGTATGTAGATGAATGTATGTGTATGTGTGTGCATGCATGGATTATTTGTGCATGGATTGTGTGTGTATGGATTGTATAAATGTGTGTAGATGTGTGTGTATGCATGTGTGTATGCATTGTGTATACATGGATGTGGGTGAGTGTGTTGTGTACATGCGTGCACATGCATGTGTGCATGTGGGTATGGGTGTATGTGTGTGTGCATGCATGGATGTGTGTATGCATTATGTATACATGGGTATGAGTGAATGGATTGTGTGCATGTGTGTGGGGGTGTATGCATGTATGCCCTGCCTTTCCTGAGTTCTTGGTGAACTGAAGAGTGTGGTGGATGTGGGTCCACAGCTCCTGTCCTGGGATGAAGAGCTCCCCGCAAATCCTGCTTGCAGCTTCCCTCCTCTTCCTCTTCTCCCGACCCATCTCATCCTCTCCGGCTCCCAGGAACCCGACTGGCCCCCTCCTCTCGGATGGACATTCGTGTGTAGGTAGGTCATGGAGCTGAGGGCGGGGGCTCTGTGTGGTTTTGTTTTCATGCACATGCTGAGCTTTATGAAACACTTCTGGCCTGTTCCTGGACGCCTGTCAGCACCTGCAGGCACCGGGAGAGAAGGCATTTCAGGGGCATCTGGCAGGGGCCAGAGGGTGCTAGCCAGGACATCCAAGCAGCAAGGGGTCATGGACAGGGAGCAGGGGAGGACTTCTGAGGTCATAAAGTCCTGCGCTTGCCCTCGCCTCATTTTACAGAGAAGGAAACTGAGGTGCAAACGAGGGAACTTGAGAGACACCACCACATAACAGACTTGGAGTCAGCGAGCCCTGGTTAAATCCTGCCTATGGTGACCATATGATGACCCTAAGCAAGTCATTGAACCTTCTGAGACTCAATCTTCTCATCTATAGAGTGAGAGGGGTCCTCTAAGGTCTCTCTCAGTTCTAGATCCGAGTCTGCAGAACCACTTTCAAATCCTGTCTTTCACTTATTGGCTACATGACAAAGGACAGGTCACTCAGGCTTGTTAAGCCTCAGTTTCCTCTTCTGTAAAATAGAAACAGCAATGCCCTACCAAACTTCCCACATTGTTACAGAGCATCTGGTGGCTTCAGAGCTGGATGAATGGCTGTCTGCTTGGGTGGACTTGTAATGCATCCAGAGCCCAAGGAGCTGTTCTTGAAACGGTATCAGGAGCAGGGAGAGTCTTCTAACTGGAAAGTGTCAGTGAGGGACAGGTAGGGTCTAAGAGGGTGAGAAGGTGGCCAGGGGGCTAGGTAGGGCCTGGGGTTTGTCCCTGTCCTGTGTGATACTATGAAAAGGGCAACAAGGAAGGAGAGGCAGCTTGGGGACCTTAGCTGTGATGAGGGAAGGCCGGAAGGGCTCATCACTATGGGTCTCTGGGGACAATGGGAGACTACAGGGTCCCCTGGAGTCAGCTGCCACCCGGGGGGATGGGTGATCTGTCCCCCTCACTTCTGAGATCTGACCCTTCAGTGAAATGCGGCACTCCCCTCACAGAGGATTAAAATAATACCAGACCACAAGCTTCTCTGCTCAGCTTCACAGTCATTCAGCAGGACCCACAAAGACACATGGTCCACAGCTAGTCAGGTCTAGGGAGGGAGAGACATGTCTGCCTTTGTCCCTCCCCCATCCCCTGTTTATTATTTTTAAATTTAATTTTATTTTGTTTTCAGTTCCAAATTCTCTCCCTCCCTCCCCTCCTTCCCCCACCTATTAAGAAGGTAAGAAAAACAAAACCCGTTACAAATATGCATAGTCATGCGACACTTTCCTATATTGACCATGTCCCAAAATAAGAGAAAAAGAAAGAAAGGGAAAGAAATGTGCTTCAACCTGCCCTCTGAATCCATCAGTTGGGTCTCTCTGGAGGAGCGCTTTTCATCATGAGTCCTTTGGAACTGTCTTGGATCATTGTAATGATCAGAGTAGTGAGGTCTCTCACAGTTGATCACATTGCAATGTTGCTGTTAGGTGTACAATGTTCCCTTGGTTCTGCTGGCTTGGCTTTGCATCAGTTCATAGAAGTCTTTCCAGTTCTTTCTGAAACCATTCCCTTCATCATTTCTTAGAGCCCAGTAATATTCCATCACATTTATTTACCATAACCTACTTGTCCAGCCATTCCCCAATTTGTGGGCATCCCCTAATTCTTTGCCACTACTTTAAAGAACTACTATAAATATTTTTGCTAGGTCAGAGGATATGCACAGTTGTAGAGCCCTTTGAACATAGGTCCCAGTTGTTCTCCAGAAAGATTGGACTAGCTCACAACCCCACCAACAGTACATCAGAGTCCCTATTTTTCCACATCCCCTCTAGAATTTGCCATTTTCCTTTTCTGTCATGTTAACCAATCTGATGAGTGTGAGGTGGTACTTCAGCATTGTTTTAATTTGTAGGTCTCTAATTGTCAGTGATTTCAACCATTTTTTAATATGGCTATTAATAGCTTGGATTTCTGCCTTTGAAAAATGCCTATTCATAGCCTTTGACCATTTATCAATTGGAGAATGGGTCTTATTCTTATAAATTTGACTCAGTTCCTTTAACATCTTAGAAATGAGATGTTTATCAGAGAAATTAGCTGCAAATATTTTTCCCAGTTTTCTGATTCTCATTTTAGTGCATTGTTCTTGTTTGTACAAAAACTTTTTAATTTTATGTAATAAAAATAATCCATTTTATCTCCTGTGAACTCTACCCCTATCCATAGATCTGCCAGGTAATTTCTTCCGTGCTCCTTTTATTTACTTATGATGTCACTCTTCATGTTTAAATCATAGACCCTTTTTGGACTTATCTGGGTATATGGTGTGAGATGTTGATCTATACCTAGTTTCTGACAGACTATTTTCCAGTTTCCGTCAAATAGCGAGTTCTTGCCCCAGTAGCTTGGAGCTTTGGGTTTATCAAACATTAGGTTATTGCAGTCATTTGTTTCTATATACTATGTGCTTCATTTATTCCATTGATTAATCTTTCTATTTCTTACCCAGTACCAACTGTTCCAATGGTTATAGCTCTATAGTACAGCTTAAGATGTGATACTAAAAATTGTTTTAATGTGTAATTGAAGGGGAAATTATATATATATATATATATATATACATACATATATTTAAAGATGTAGACTGCTAAGCTGCTTTCCTTCCTGCTTTTTTTCATTGATTCCCTTAATATTCTTTTTTTTCTCCCTACATTAGCCATGTTGCAAAAATGTGATAATTGTGATAATTTTGACCTTTTGTTCTCCCAGATGAATTTTGTTGTTATTTTTGGTAGTTCTATAAAGTACTTCTTTGATAGTTTGATTGGTATGGCACTGAATAAGTAAATTCGTTTGAGGAGTATTGCCATGTTTATTATGTTGGCTCAGCCTACCTATGGGCAATTAATATTTCTCCAACTGTTTAGATCTGTCTTTATTTATGTGAAAAGTGTTTGGCAATTGTGTTCATGTAGTTACTGTGTACATGTTGGCAAGTAGACTCCCAATCATTTTTTACTATCTGCCATTATTTCAAATGGAATCTCTCTTTCAATCTCTTCACACTGGGTTTTGTTGCTAATATATGGAAATGTTGATGATTTCTGTGGGCTTATTTTATATCCAACAACATTGTTGAAGTTGTCCATTGTTTCAACTGGTTTTTCAGTTGATTCTCTAAGGTTCTCTAAGTATCGTATCATCTGCAAAAAGTGATAGTTTTGCTTTCTCATTGCTTATTTTTATTCCTTCAATTTCTTTTTCTTGTATTTTTGCTATAGCTGGCATTTCTAGTACAATATTGAAGAATATCGGTGATAGTGGGCATCCTTGCTTCACCTCTGATATTATCGGGAAGAATTCTAGCTTATCTCCGTTACAGACGACATTTAAACTTGGTTTTAGGTGTTGCTACCTACCATTTTAAGAGAAGCTCCATTTATGCTTATGCTTTCTAATGTTCTTAAAAGGAATGGGTGTCGTATTTTTGTCAAAAGATTTTCCTGCATTTATTGAAATACTTATAATAACTTTTGTTCTTTTGTTATTAATATGGTCAATTATATTTATAGTTTCCTAAAATTGAACCAACCCTACTTCATCGGTAGAAATCCAGCAGCAGCAGTAGCAGCTTCACAATCAAATAATAACTAGCATTTACCTGGTGCCTACTACATGCCAGTCACTGTGCTAAGCACTTTACAAATATATATCATTTGATCCTCACAAAAACCCTGGCCAGGTAGGTGCTATTATTATTCCCATTTTACAGTTGAAGAAACTGAGGCAAATGGGGGTTAAATGACTCATCCAAGGCCACCCAGCTAGTAAATATCTGAAGCCAAATTTGAACTCAGGTCTTACTGACCCCAGGCCCAGAGGTCTATCTGCTGTGCCATCTAGCTACCTGTTATACTGTATAATCTTTGTGACATATTGCTGTGGTTTCCATGCCAGTATTTTATTTAACATCTTTGCATCAATATAATTAAATTACTTTATAGTTCTCTTTCTCTGCTTTGACTCTCCCTGGTTTAGAAGGAATTTGGTAGGACCTTTCCTTTACCTATTTTTTCTAACAGGTTATACAGTATTAGAATTAATTGTTCTTTAATAGTTTTGTAGAATTTGCATGTAAATTCATCTGGTCTCATTTTTTTTCTTTGAGAATTCATTTGTGGGTATTCATTGGTTTTCTAAGATAGACCATTCTACCATTACAGGCCACTGCCCTTTCAGGGTCTTGCCTATTACTAGATTTACTCCTAAAGACAACCTAGCCTTGATAAAGAGTTTCAGAATAGGAGTCCACTTTCCACAGGCCGGGGAAAACCCTGTCCACACCCCTCGGCAGGGCATTCATGTTATGCTAAAGGGGAAATGGGGTATGCCCAGCTTTAGCAATGATACCCTTCAGAAACTGTGGGCTTGCCAGAGAAAGTACCAAAAGTGAGGGACCCACTCAATATGCTGGCATGGTCTAATCTTTAAGGATGGTAACCACACAACCTCTGTCTGCAGGTTCTTATAGGGTTTGTTGTCAGTTGAATGTGAGCACACTTCTCTCTTCATCTGCTCCCTTATACTCTGCAAAGGGTTAGCCCCACCTCTTCATCTTTTAAAGATGACTTTTGTGGGCCTAGAGTCATCAACTGCTCTCTTGGCAGTCAGGTTATTCATGAAGCTTCATGACTGGTCCATGCTCAATGGCACATCTTATGAGTTTTGGCATCCCTGACATTGACAGTAAGAAATTGAGGAGGGCTTTTTCAATTCTCAAGTGCTTTCATTCTGTGACTTTTGGGGCTGCTTCTGGGCAATGAAAATGTTTGCTTTTTAAAATTAATCAAGCAGACTGAGACAGTACTATACTTAAGGATCTATTTAGAGTACGGATTGTTTCTCGCTGAAGCTATTTCTCTCATTTTAATAGAGAAGATTTTACACAGACTAAGACTCATGTGGAAACTAAATGCCAAATA